TTGAACGTCTTATGTCATAGCTCATGAAGATGACTTAACATTGCCATTGGGGACATATCATGCATCCGCCCTTACTCCAGTTGTTGGCGAAGCCAATGAACATGTACAGCCAATAAGAATTCTAAGACGAAGAGGAAGACCCAAAAAGAATACTGCTGATGCTTAATCGGGACGATCCTAAGCATCAGAGGGGGAGAATGAAACGGAACAACATTATTTTATGACCTATTTCTAATTTGATTTCATTTCATTTAACTTTAATATAATCTATGAATTTCATCTGTAAATATTTCATTTCCACCTACCTATCATGAATACAACTCATATTTGAATTTTATAAGTTAACTGCCTAAAATACAACCCTGTACATAATTTTAGTTACTACTATTAAAACCAACCCTACAATAATATTACACAAGGCCCTACTATCGCTTCACATAAGTAGCAAGTAAGCTCTTGAAAATCAAATAAAATTACTAATTCCTTTAGCGAACATTGAGCACTGTATCAAATCTGGCTTCATAGAAGTGCAAGACAGAATACAAAGTGATTCAAACACACTAAAGAGAATAAAGTGAAGTATTGTCTTCGTAAATTCAACATCTCGTGTTTTATTGTATGAGGCCATACAATCTCCGCTCTCGATCCGTTTAAGAATGAAAAAATGTATGTTATTATATCGAAAAATATAATAAAAACACCCAAAACGTTTTTCAAACAATAGAAATTTTTTTTCCCAATGTATTACAACACGCCCATTTCATTCAGTACAGTACATTTTGTTTTATGTGTTGGTAAACGCACAAGAATTTTTTTCCGTAGAAAAAAGTGCAAAATAAAAAAAAATTTCCAATACTTTAAAAAATAATAAAATACTCTCAAATTTTAATTTTGACCAAATGTAGGGTGCACGGACTGTAAAAAGCCTGGGGGTAGGGCAAGGAATACATAGGTTTCGTAAAGAGCCACAAATCCTCATCAGTTCCCCTGTTTTATGTCTGGGATATTCTCCCCAGAAGTTATATTTAAAAATAACTTCTATGGCAGAAAACTTTTTTTACCCAAGTGACTAATAAACAAACGTTTTTTTTATAAAAACAACAATAATGGGATTAAGCCTCACCATTTTGCAACAACAAAATACTATGGTATCCCGATCAAACAAGTCAACACTGTTCTTTAAATTTTATAGTAATATATATACAAAATTTTTTCGAGATCGGCTTAGGAAAGCAGTGTGTAACGTACTCGAGCCTACTAATCAATCCTGAAAAGGATTAAAGGGTTTTCAAAAAAAAAAAAAAAAGAAGAAAATAATAATAATAATAATAATAATAATAATAATAATAATAATAATAATAATAATAATAATAATAATAATAACAATAATAATAATAATAACAATAATAATAATAATAGTAATAATAATAACATAAATTACTGAACTTTTAATACAAACTTTTCACACAACCTACGTTCGACCTCGTATATTAACTATATCCGTATCCGGATATATGAATTGTCTTGCTCACTTTTATATTGACGGTACTAACCTTAAAATTGTATCAATAAAATGATGATGAAGGATGATGAATATTTAGATGAACAATAGGTTGTTATGTATTTGTGATGCCGACGAAGTTAGTAAGTTAGTATTAGGGTCTATACGACCACGTAGGCAACTTTTGTCATAAGCTATCACAATATTCAAATGTGAAACTTGAAACAAAATTATGTTGATAATGTAGCTAAAACCATCAAAATACCGAATATAGGAATGTACCATGGGGGTTATAAAACGTGGACCTGCAAGACAATTTTCTAGAATAGGCTGTAGTATCCATTACGAACTTCAAATACTAAAAAAATTCTGATGAATAATGTCGCTAAAATCATTAAACTACCGAATATCGGGGATACCGTTATATGGGGGCTACACGAAGAAGTGGACCTGCACCGACAATTATCTGTCTTAGGCTGTATTATTCATTACAAACTTCAAATACCAAAATTTGAAACAATTCCGGTAAATAATGTCGCTAAAATCATCAAAATATCAAATATCGGAAGGTACCGTTATATGGGGGCTATACGAAGACGTGGACCAACATGGCCCATTTCTGTAGTATCCACGTCCTATGCCGCAGTATCCATTACGAGCTTCAAATACCAAATTTGCAACAATTCCGGTAAATAATTTCGCTAAAATCATCAAAATGCCGCATATCGGGAGTTACCGTTATATGGGAGCAATATGAAGACGAGGGCCTACATGGCCCATTTTCAATTCCAAAAGTCCTGCAGAAATAATACACATTTGAGTAAAGTTTTATCAACCTACTTCATTTCGTTCGGAAGCTAGAGGGATTTCCACAGACGGACGGACATTGCTAAATCGACATAACATTTTATGCTGATCCAGAATATATACACTTTGTTGGGTCTTTTCGAGGTGTTACAAACGGAATGACAAACTTAATATACCCTCCATACTATGGTGGAGGGTATAAAAATAACGAGTACGCTCGGAGTTTCAAGCTGACGGAAAAACTTTAGTCATTCGCATGGTAGAAGAATACAGGTGGTCGCATCCACACAGCTGCTGTCAAACCGATTTTGGAATTGAAAATCTTGAATAAAATATTAGTAAAATTTGTAAAAATTGTTGAAAAATACAGACCATTACAACCTACGATTTGTGTCGTATAAGAAAACATATTTTTGACAAAACACTTTAAAATTTTTTTTCCATCTACCTATATTCTTTTACCATTTTATTATTTTTTATTTATTTATTTTATCTTTCATTTAACAATTTTCATTCGTGTTTTGAACTTTTTGTATAAATGTTGACATTCTACATATATTTTTGTATTTTTCCGTTTTTAAATTCGGTTGGAGAGTCACTTGTCAAAAAATGTTTTGTCGATAAAAAATTTGAAAACATTGCCTCTCTTATTTCAGTTTTCTGTCGAAATTCCAACTCGTCGACAAAAAGCGTACCTCGGATGAGAGAGAAAACAAAATTTACTCTCGTTTGAATGCCCATACGCCAACATTATGTCTTTCATTCATAATTTTCAGTCTTCCTGAAACATTGTGAAATTATATTAAATTTTTCTATATTGAATTTTGAAATGTCATAATTTATTTTTTCGATAAATGCTCTCATTTGTTAGGGATGGCACACATTTCATCGTAATTCTGTGAGTGATTTGAATGGAACAAAGAACCAAAATCTTTGTTCGCTCAGAAAATTTTGTGTGGGGAATCAACTAGATATTTCATAATTAATGGTCGAACAACGAATAGAGAGCGAATCACGTGCCATGTGAACTTAGCAGGAGGATAATTTATAATAATACACATACTCTAGCTAATTCACTTTTCGGCAACGTCGACATGAGCGCTGCGTAGGCATTTTTCTGTTCCCACGTTCTGATGTAATTTGATATTGCATAGAACAATTATGCGAATGAATTACGTTGCTTCTTCCCATGGTTATATGATCTTCAGGATATTTTTTATACCCTCCACCATACTATAGAGGGTATATTAACTTTGTCATTCCGTTTGTAACTCCTCGAAATACTCATGTCAGACCCAACAAAGTATATATATTCTTGATCAGCGTAAAATTTTAAGTCGATTTAGCGATTTCCGTCTGTCTATCTGTCCGTCTGTCTGTCTGTTGTAATCACGCTGTCTTTCGAACGAATTGAGATAGATGGCTAAAATTTTGCACAAATGTTTATTTTTCCAGTAGGCAGGTTAAGTCACGTCTTCGAATATCCCCCAGATAACGGTACCACCCGATATTCGGTATATTAATGATTTTAGCTACTGGATCCTACAGGCTATGAAAGAAAATTGTATGTGCAGGTCCACGCCTGCGAATAGCCCCCATATAACGGTCGCATTTGAATATTGTAATGGCTTATTAGAAATTTTACCCATGCAGATCCATGTCGTCGTATAGACCCTAACAAAATAGCTACATTCGGTATTTTCAACATTTTAAAAGAATTCTTAACGGATTTTATTGTTTTTGAGAATTGCCAAATTCGTTCCAAAGGGTGGAGGTTATTCAAAGTTCGACCCGGCCGAACTTACAGCTTTTTTATACTCTCTACCATACTATGGAGGGAATATTAACTTTGTCATTCCGCTTGTTACTCCTCGATCTTGATCAGCGTAAAATTCTAAGTCGATTTTGCAATGTCCGTCTGTCTGTCTGTCAGGTTTAATCACGCTATCTTTCGATCGAATTGAGATAGAAAGCTAACATTTTGCACACATGTTTATTCCAGTAGGCAGGTTAATTTCGTAAATGGGCCTTGTAGGTCCACGTTTTCATATAGTCCCCATATAACGGTACCTCCCGATATTCGGTATTTTGATGATTTTAGCGTCATTATTCACCGGAATTGTTTCAAATTACGTATTTAGAGTTCGTAATCGGAACTACAATCTGTGACAGAAACTTGACTGTGCAGGTCCAGGTCTTCGTATAGGCCCCATACATCAGTACCTCCCTATATTCGGTATTTTGACGAGTTTAGGTACAATACTCACCGAAAATGTTTGAGATGTCGTATTTGAAGTTCGTAGTGGATGCTACAGCCTGTGACAAAAAATTGTCTACGCTGGTCCATGTCTTCGCATAGCTCCGATATAACGGTACCTCCCTATATACGATATTTTGATGATTTTAGCTACATTATTCACGGTTTATTTCAAGTTTCGAATTTGAATATAGTAATGGCTTATGACAAACAATGCCTATGTAAGTCCACGTCGTATAGACCCCAATATAACGGCAATATTCGATATTTTTATCGAGGGCATTCCGAACCGACCGAACTTACTGCTTTTTAACTTGTTCTTAACTCATATATGCTCAATAATCCTAAAATATCGTATATATACAGCTGCTTATAACAGAATAGTATTTATCAGCGAATGTATTGAATGAAAAAAGTTATCACTCTATTTTTAAGGTAAAAACAAAACGAAGCATCAACCTATCAGCATCTTATGCCCTCATCCCTGATGAACGCCTGTCAAAAGATATTTCACCTAATGGCTATGAAATTGACTTAAGACCTAACATTAAGGATAATTCATTTTCTGGACATATCAAAATGAATTTAAGTTGGGGTGTGCCTACTCGAAAAATTTCTTTACACGCACATTATGATCTACAAATAAATGATAGATCCATAAAACTATCTAAGCAAACGTGGGACAATGGGTAAATTATTTCATCTATGAATTTTACCTAAACTTAATAAATTTCGTTAAATTGTAGTGATTTTAAAATAGAGAGCATTCCAATTCTGCGGGGAGATCGTCTGCCAAAGAAAACTATATTCGTCGTTTATCTGAAAGACACATTAAAGGAATGTCATCATTGCGAGTTAAGCATGGATTTTGAAGGGGGCATATGGAAAAGTAATGATGGTATGTTCAAAGGTTCATACATCGCACCCGATGGAATGGAACGTTTTTATCTGGCTACATTCATGAGACCAAACAATGCTCGCAGACTCTTTCCTTGCCTAGATGAACCCGGTTTCAAGGTAAGTAGTATATACATAATCGAATGTGCTTTAAACTGTTCAAAAATTTTGCCTTAGCGAAGAAGGTGTTTTTTCCAACCTTTATCTGTTAAAGGCTAGATTCCACATGATGTTAGAGTCATATATAAAGTGATTTTTACATTACATAACAGTATATTACATTATATAATTAACATTTTTGTAGCAGGCTTTTAGACGCGCCCAACATTTATAAAACTTAAACGAAATTCTATACTTTATAAACCATATGGTGTACAATGCTATACAATATACATATATTATATTTACATTAAACTTATACTACGACTATTTTAATATGTACCATTAATATATTGTGTGAAGCGCCATAAAATATATTATAGATATGCTTAAAACAATTGTAAATAAAGTAGCTTTATATTTGACTTTAACATTATGTGTGTACTAACATTAATATAAACAATAATGAGGCTAACCAGTAAAGTCCTAAAGTCGGGCGGGTCGACTTTATGATACCCTACACCACTTTGCTAATTTAGTAGAGCTCCACATAACAATTAAAAGTTTTATGGGAGAATTCAAAAGTTTTATGGGAGGTATGATTATAATTTAAAGTTACGCCGAAGTATTTGTATCTTTTAAATTCGGAATTGTATTGCCCATTTGGTGAAAAATTAATTTGAAATCAGATAAAGATATATATGGGTGCTATATCCAAATCTGAACCGATCTCGATAAAATTTGGCAAAGTTATTTCTGAGCTGTATTTGATATATTTCCCTGAATATCGTTGTTACGGAGTACATATTACGGCTGTGGGTAACAAATACAACAAATCGGATGAACAATATATATGGGAGCTATAGCTATTTCTAAACCGATCTTCACAAAATTTGGTGTACTAGCTTCTAGACTCAATTCGGTCGTATGTGCCAAATTCCATCATATTTGGGTAAATATTAGACTTTGGTGCACAATAAAAGGTAAATCGGACGAAGTTATATATGGGAGCTATATCCAAATCTGAACCGATCTCGATGAAATTTAGCAAAGGTATTCCTGAGCTGCATTTGATATATTTTCCCAAATATCGTTGTTACAGAGTGCATATTACGGCTGCGTAGGACAAAAATAACAAATCGGATGAACAATATATATGGAAGCTATAGCTATATCTGGACCGATTTCGATCAAATTTGGCATACTTATTTTCAGTATTATTTGGTTGTATGTACAAAATTCCATACTATTCGGGCTGTAATTACACGTTTGGTGCACAATAAAAGGCAAATCGAACGAAGAAATATATGGGAGCTATATATAAATTTGTACCGATTATCTCCAATTTTAATAGGGCTCGTCCTTGGGCCAAACAAATGATTAGTGCAAAATTTCATCTAGATCAGATAATAAATGCTAACTGTACTTTGTTTACAAAAATACATGGTCAGACGGACGGACATGCATAAATCGACTCAGAATGTGATTCTATGCAGATCATCAAAAGGAACTATGGGTCTATCTCATTTACTTTTGCCTGTTACAAACAAATGCACAAAGACATAATACCCTGACCACCTTGTGGTGTAGGGTATAAACATTCAGAACACATAGAATAACAAATAGCTCAGGTTTCGGATTCTACTATTTTTGTTTTAACCGAATGTGTAGCCTGAAACATATTTTTATCATTGTGTGTTGTTAACGTACACACACGTCCATATGATTTCGAGCTTGTCAGCTAATCTAAGTTCAATTTTGAATTGTAACTAAACAGTACAGTAAGATAATGTACCGTACCGGAACACAACCCTTAAAAAATATTTTAGTGATACTGTACCGGAGCACAACGAGGAACGTACTGTACCACAGTCGGAGCAGTACAAAATCGTAGTGTACCACATGGAGGAACATTAAAAAAATAATGTACCGGTACCACATATGTATTGTTTACGATTTGTGAGAAATATTAGATGTTTGATGTTTTTGATAATGCAAAAATTACTGATACACTTCAATATTATGAAAATAAAAACTAGATTTATTTTATTTATCATGTATATTTCGATTGGTTGCGAAATTGAAGAAATATGAGAATAGAATAATGAACAACAAATTAAAAAGCAGTAGGTTCGGCCGGGCCGAAATTTGAATACCCTCCGCCATTTGGAATGAATTTGGAGATGAAATCCTTAAAAAAATTGTTAACATTTAAAAAATACCGAATATAGCCGTTATATTGGTCTCTATACGACGTGGACCTACATAGGCATTTGCCATAAGTCATTACCATATTCAAATTCGAAACTTAATATAAACGGTGAACAATGTAGCAAAATCATAATAACCATTCTGCCATAGGCTGTAGCATTTATTACGAACTTCAAATACGCGTCTCAAACAATTTCGGTGGGTATTGTACCTAAGCTCGTCAAAATACCGAATATAGGGAGGTACTGGTAAGTGGGGCTTACACGAAGACCTGAACCCGCACACACAATTTTTTGTCACAGACTGTAGTTCTCACTACGAACTCTAAATACGTAATTTGAAACAATTCCGGTTAATAACGTAGCTAAAATCATCAAAATACCGAATATAGGAAGGTACCGTTATATGGGGGCTATACGAAGACGTGGACCTGCACAGACAGTTTTCTGTCTTAGGCTGTAGTATGCATTTCGAACTTCAAATACAAATCCGGTTAATAACGTCGCTAAAATCATCAAAATACCGATTATCGGAAGGTATCGTTATATGGGGGCTATACGAAGACGTGGACCTGCACAGACAGTTTTCTGTCTTGGGCTGTAGTATGCATTTCGAACTTCAAATACCAAACAATTCCGGTTAATAATGTCGCTGAAATCATCAAAATACCGAATACAGGGAGGTACCGTTATATGGGGGCTATACGAAGACGTAGACCTGCACAGACAGTTTTCAGTCTAAGGCTGTAGTATCCATTACAATCTTCAAATACCAAATTTGAAACAAATCCGGTTAATAACGTCGTTAAAATCATCAAAATACCAAATATCGGGAGTTACCTTTATATGGGGGCTATACGAAGACGTGGACCTGCACACACAATTTTCTGTCACAGACTGTAGTTCCCATTACGAACTCTAAATACGTAATTTGAAACAATTCCGGTGAATATTGACGCTAAAATCATCAAAATACCGAATATAGGAAGGTACCGTTATATGGGGGCTATACGAAGACGTGGACCTGCACAGACAGTTTTCTGTCTTAGGCTGTAGTATGCATTTCGAACTTCAAATACAAATCCGGTTAATAACGTCGCTAAAATCATCAAAATACCGATTATCGGAAGGTATCGTTATATGGGGGCTATACGAAGACGTGGACCTGCACAGACAGTTTTCTGTCTTGGGCTGTAGTATGCATTTCGAACTTCAAATACCAAACAATTCCGGATAATAATGTCGCTGAAATCATCAAAATACCGAATACAGGGAGGTACCGTTATATGGGGGCTATACGAAGACGTAGACCTGCACAGACAGTTTTCAGTCTAAGGCTGTAGTATCCATTACAATCTTCAAATACCAAATTTGAAACAAATCCGGTTAATAACGTCGTTAAAATCATCAAAATACCAAATATCGGGAGTTACCTTTATATGGGTATGCAGTATGCATTTCGAACTTCAAATACTAAATTTGAAACAAATCCGGTTAATAATGTCGCTTAAATCATCAAAATACCGAATATAGGGAGGTACCGTTATATGGGGCTATACGAAGACGTGGACCTGCACAGAAAGTTTTCTGTCTAAAGCTGTAGTAGCCATTACAAACTTTAAATACCAAATTTGAAACAAATCCGGTTAATAATGTCGCTAAAATCATCAAAAAACTGAATATCGGGTGGTATCGTTATATGGAGGCTATATGAAAACGTGGACCTACATGACCCATTTACGAACTTAACCTGACTACTGGAAAAATAAACATGTGTGCAAAATTTTAGCCTTCTACCTCAATTCGTTCGAAAGATAGCGTGATTACAACAGATAGACAGACGGACTTTGTTGGGTCTGACATGAGTATTTCGAGGAGTTACAAACGGAATGACAAAGTTAATATACCCTCCATAGTATGGTGGAGGGTATAAAAAGGACAAAATATGAAGTGATAATAACCATTAAATTGAAATTTTTAATTTGATGCGAAAAAGGTATTTTAGTGGTTGCGTTGTAATGGGTTGTTATGCAGATCATCTACCTGTTATTAGGTGTGTCTGGTTTCTTTCCCTGCAGGAATTGTCCAGCAACATCTTTCTGAGAGAGTAAGGTTGTTTTATTCTCTTTTGCAAGGAAATTGCGAAAAGTAAACAGACGGTATTCCTGCAGAAGCTTGCAACTAATCAGCTGATTTGTCAAAACAAACCAATTTGTCCCCCATTAAAAGAATTAAACGAAAGGAACCACCACCAATTTCACAAGTTTTATAAATAAAAAGGAAATTGACAATAAAATAAAAATATGAGCAATAAAAGGAAGATAGATATGATGTGTTCCGCGGAATCTTTTAAACCTGTTGCTAATGGCATTTGTCTAAAAATGTTGGAAATAGTCTTTTATTTTCTTATTACATATTAATATTTACTTTTTTTCACATTTTGTAAAGTTGTTCTACAAAAACAATTAGTCTTGCTAATTCCAAAACAATATTTTTAAATTAAAACCACGAAAAGAAATAAACAATACAAAACATCTGATTGAATGTCGATGAATGAGAAGAAGAAGAGTTGCAAGAGATTGCAAGAAGAAATTTTTCCAGCAAGAATTTGCAAACTATCACTGAAAGAACTGTCAAAATTTCTCTCTCCAACCGCTCTCTTTTGCAGAATTTTTGGGTTAACAGACGACTTACAGTAACAATTTGTAACAATTGTTACAAGTTTTAGGGTAACCAGACACACCTATTTTGTGGTGCCGAAAATCAATGAATGTACGTGTAAAAAACTATAAATTTTACAAAGTATGGCTG